TTTTTTTTACACAGTGACCAAAATACCTGACAAGAATAACTTAAAGGAGGGACAGTTTATTTTGGGTTCCTGGTTTCAGAGGTTCAGTCTACAGTGGGCCAACTCTATTGTACTAGGCCTGAGTGAGGCTCAACATCGTGGCACAAGGGCATAGTGGAGGAAAGCTGCTCAACTCATAGCAGCCAGGAAGCAGAGAGAGAGAAAGAGAGAAAGGAAACAGGGATAAAATGGAATTCCCAAGTGCATGCCCCCCTAGTAACCTAATTTTCTAGCTGTAGCCATACCTACCTGCCTTCAGGTAACACCCAGCAGTACATTCAAATTATTAACCCATCAAATAGATTAATCCACTGAAGGGTTTACAGTTTTCCTAATCTAATCATGTCACTTCTGAACATTCCTACATGGCATGTCATGTTTCCAACATAGGAGCTTTTGGGGGGGGACACTTCATATTCAAACCATATCAGAGTGAATGAACACTTATTACAAGCAAGACAGAGAACATTTATGCACTAAGAAGTTTCACCAAGGTAACTGTATTACTTGCTAACTTTAGATGTATATAATTTATATATGCCTTTTCCTCTTTTTTTAACCCAAATCTATATTGTGCTTTGCTAGTTTGTAAACAAACTAAGACTTCATCTTTAAAAATATAAATAGCCAAATACAACCTGTATTCTATTAGATAAAAATTGTAACTCATATTCCAAAGAGACTAGACTTCTAAAATAAATATTTTCTAAAACATCATCATTACTATGACCAGAACAAATATAGAAAAAGCAAGTTTACTGAAGTATTTTCAGTGATAAGTGTAGAACACCATTGAAAAATATCAGTGAAATATTAGCAATTTAGAAATTTATGTAGCATTTAAAAAATAGCATTTAAAAATTTATTATTTTTAAATGCTATTTGAACCTAGCTCATATATATGTTACTAAACTTTCCCATTCATTTCTTGCAATGAAACTCTGCCTAGCATTACTAAAAATCAATTCTAAGTTTCATACTGGGTGATGTTTGAATTTTTACACCTTGGATATTAATCGTTATTCCCAGTCTTTAAACTGTTCTCTATATCATATTGGAGAAACAGGATGTGACTTTTAAACCATACAGTCATTTAGTATGAATAGATTGCAACTCTGGGGTTAAAATAAAAATGATTGGAACTTAAGACTTATAAAAATATGTACTTGTATTGTTTTTGGTCTTTTAAAACTGTGTTTCATTCTGGACCCTTAATTTGTTTATTTAATGTTAATTCCCACTGTTCTAACTTTGTTAATCATCAGTTCATCCATAAACACCAAAATATTTAAACAGTTAAAGAAACATTTATTCTATATACTTTAAATTTAAATTCTACAAATGGAACTTTAAAATCTAGTGTTACACTGAATTCTGAGTTTTTAGTTATAAAAGACTTTTTTTTTTAAAATTTTGTTTCCATTTTCCTAAGGGATTACTTTTCACATTAAACACATGTTGCCAATGTGTTTTTGGTAACCTTGGTTACTAAAATGAACAACAACTAAAAAAACATTTTTAAAAATCCTGAGTTGCCTCAGACTGCACCTGCAATATATACATATAGACTAGTTCTCTTTTTAAAAAAAAAAATTTAAATAATTGCAGAAACAAGTTCCATTAGCAAATATTGTGCTGAAGAGAATAACACATTGAGTATGAACAATAGCATAACTGTAGGCCAGGAAAAGGTCAAGAACAGCAGTCCCTCACTCCCATTTGACAGAGCAGGAGTGCTGAATTTGTTCAGTATTAATGAAATGTGGCTTTGAGAAAAATTTATCCTTTTAAAAACTGTTAGTATATATTAAACATTTGATAGTCATATCTTCAGTGTCTAAAAAATTATAAATGTTATCACTTCTTTTATAATCTTGGTAATAAAAGAGAAAAGTTTTTTTTACCACCACTGGCAAGCTTGAAACTGGCATCATGCCAAACTCTCGAATTAAACAGAAACCAGAAGCAAAAGAAAGTGCCACCCTTATTGATCCTGTGACACTTTGAGGCAGTTTAAATGAGGAGCTGGGTAGAAGAGGTAAAAGACCACTCTCTTCCCTCTAATCCCAGTACAGGAAGGGATGAGAGGGAGGGAAGTAAATCTTGACATCTCCTTTCTTCAGTGGGACTTCCTGTTTCATTCCCACAATAATTGTCAGCCTGATTTCTCTGGATGCTAGTTGTTTTAATTGAGTGATGTTATATAGTTCTCAATGACAAAGACTGAACAACCCTTCTTGCTGTTAGTGTCAAGTAACAAAAACTCAGAGGTCTTATTTATCAGTCCATTCATAGAACATATTGATGATTGATTTTTTTTATTTGGAGTATGTGTTCCGATAAAAATACATAAAGTAAATAAAAATCTCTGGAATTAAATATGTTACTTTCTGCATTCCCAGCAAATAAGAAATAAACTAAAAGCACAGGTTGAGGAACCTAATCAATGTAGATTGAGTCAACATATTATACTTTCAGAAAAAGAAACTTTTAGTTGGATTTAGAGAGATTATTCCCTTAAGAAAAATAATGGTAGAAAATGGTGCACAAAATATAGTTGTTGGGTCTCTTTTAATT